CCCTCCTCGCTGTCTGCTCCACATTTGGCGGCGCTATTACCAGCTGTTTTCACTCGGTGCGTCCTGAAAACAAACATGCCAGAGAAGCCCGAAGAAGTCCTGGGGCAGGGAGATAGCGGTGCTGCCATGGCGGTTACATGTTAGTCAATTTGAAATACACAGAAAGGAATGTCTCTCATGTGACTCCGGGCCGGCAGAGCGTGACCGGCCGCGAGCTCGCCAAGTATGGTTGGTCACACATGAGAGGGCAGGAGACGGGCAGAGGCACGAGCGCCGGGTGTCATTGCTGTCGGATGTGTACACCTCGGCCGCAGACATGCCGAGGATGCTGATTCCTCCCCCTCGCTTTTGACTAATTGACCCTGAGCTGCTATGTCAGAGGCTTGAGGAGTGTAAGAGCCGTGTACCGACTCAACCCCCCCCGAAGCTTGTTGTTGTGGAGAACTCTTGTAAATGGGGTGAAGTTCTGCTGAACCAAGTAAGTGCAGCTTGACTTTCCCACTCCGGCGGGGCGGCCGCACGTTGACCTTCTGGTCTCGGGTCTTCTCGTGAAACATGAGCCGGTCTCCTGCAGCACACACACAATCTGTGTTGCGGTGTCATATCAGGGGGAGTTTGCTCATTTGGTTTCGGGGGCAGGTGAGAACGATGCAAATTGAATGCATTTTTTCCAGCGACAACGTAAACACTGGAAATCATCCAAATGCTGGAATTTGTCGGAGTCAATGTTGACATCTGATCGCAGTTACTCATGCTTGAAAATGGTGGAAAAACAAACATGAACCGAGGGCAAACTGCTGTCAGCGCCGACGCTCATATTGAGCTGCAGCGTTTCCTCGAGAGCTGCAGAGGAAGTAACTCGGAGCGAAAACAACACATGGCACGATTATGATTTGGAGAAAAAAAAACAAAAAAAGCTGCAGGTGAAAGTAACTTAAACTGCATTTTTTTTCTTCTTCTGTTTTTTCTTTTCCGTAGCCCCTGGACTATGAAACCAAGAAGGCGTACACCTTTAAGGTTGATGCTTCCAATGCTCATCTGGATCCACGGTTTCAGAGCTTTGGGGCCTTCAAAGACACAGCAACAGTGAAGATTAACGTTTTGGATGTGGATGAGCCCCCGGTGTTCAATAAGCCCTCCTATGTGATGGATGTGTACGAGGACACACCTGCGGGCACCATCATTGGAGCAGTGACAGCTCAGGATTTAGACGCCAGCAGCAGTCCAGTCAGGTAAAGTTTAAACTTTGAAACACTGGACGTTTTACACCGACAATGCTCCACATGGCGTTATATTAAAATACATGTCATTGGTTTTGTTACATCTCCGTCACAGGTAACGTGATTATTATGTTGAAGGCAGACTTTATGTTAAAACAGCCTTGTTTGGTTCTTTTTTTTCTTTCATTGTGCAAAAAGAAAAACTCTATTTAAAGCTTGGATTTTAATTTTTCCAGCAACTTTTCAGTCTTATGGGGACTTTTTGGCTTCAGAATGCTTGAACCCAAAGGTTGTGATGATGGAAGGCATATTGTCTCTAATTAAAACAACAATTATGTCATTTTTAAGAGCCCAGAATTGTCTAATTCTCATCTTTCTGTCAGTCCTTGAATGAATCATATGAGACAAGTGGATCCATTGAGAAAGTTCTACAAATTTGAGGTTAAAATCGGTTAATTCGACGTGTCTCGTTTAAAAATTTGCCCCCCAAAAAACATGTTTGTCCAATTAGATGATACAAAAACCAAAAAATTCTGCACTTTTTGTCACAGCTGAGAAGCTAAGAGCAGCTCAACTGCAACCAACGACCACATAATGAAAAATCAGAGACTTTTTGGTTGAACTGCAGGCTGTGTTTCTGGAGCAGTGAGGAGACATGTATGGGAACAAAATAAAGAGGCCAGAGAGGAAAATAAAACTGATTCGATCAGATGAAAAACATGCAGCGGAGCAAGTTGTTGGAAGATACATCCAGCATGGAAGAAATATTTTCTGTAGAGTTGATATCAAGAGTTTGTAGAGGCTGCAAAAATGCATGTAGTAAAATATCTACAGCACGTGAAGCCATCACTTCTCCAATATTGATAAAAAGCTGTGGGCACATATTTATATATATTTACATATGGATTCTATTTCTTTTTCTTTAATTTTTGCAATTACAAGAAACACCAAGAAACTGCTCGAGATCTGGAGCGTTAGCAACAGAACTTGTTTCATTAATCTGTTTAACTATGTTCTCATTCAGTATTCTTTTCTAAATCTGTTTTTGCTGTGGATGTACAGACACAAGCTGAACATTGAAGCCAGTAAATTACGAAATTGTTCACTTATTTTGTTTTCCAAAAATGTTAGCACCTGTGGTTAGAAGTGAATATACTCCTTTGATGAACCATCATCCATCCATCCATCCATCCATCATCTTCCGCTTATCTGGGGTCGGGTCGCGGGGGCAGTAGGCGGAGCAGGTCATTCCAGACTTCCCTCCCCCCAGCGACACTTTCCAGCTCTTCCTGGGGGATCCCGAGGCGTTCCCAGGCCAGCCAAGAGACATAATCTCTCCAGTGGGTTCTGGGTCTGCCCCGGGGTCTCCTCCCAAGTAGACGCGTTCGGAAGACCTCCAGAGGAAGCCTCTCCGGAGGCATCCAAATCAGATGTCCATACCAACTCAACTGGCTCCATTCGACGCGCAGGAGCACCTTTGATGAACCCCAATTCCATGTCCCTACCTTAATACTCAGATAAAGACATCTGGTGACATGGAGTCAACTGAATATACCAGCGTTACCCACAGTTTAGGGATTCTTGCCATTAAAATAAACAAAACGAGAGGGTTGTTGCATATTCTTCACACTATAATCTCGACTAAACACTCGAACGAAGCCAGCCTGGATCTGGATGCACATTTCCATCTTGAGAAGCTTTTTGCTATTGAACCAAATATCCCCATGTCATTCCCTTGAGGATTAAAGAGCTAAATGGGGGAGTAGTGTGATACTGCAGCCAGTGATTGAAGGTTTTAGATCTCTAATGCATTCATCAATGTCTCCGGTCTCCATTCATCAATGTCATCGCGGCTTTAATCTTGAGAGTTTTGTCAGTTTTGCTCATCAGTTTGAAGATTAATCATGAGTCCATGTAAAACATTTGATACTGTCATGTACGATCCTGCTAATATCATCTCGTTGGCAGGTTTGGCACTTGTTGGTGTCTTTGTGCTTCGTGGGGACTCAAATCGAAGTTTATTAGGAGCCTCATTAAGCAGACGTGAAGTAGATAAAACAAGTATATGATAGCTGAAAGTTTTAAGAGTGTAGATATTATCTGACTTAACTGTCTTTGTATCTGAACTTCCTGTTGAGTGTGTGTTCTGTTAGAATAATGCAGTAAATTTCAACAAACTTCAAAACTTTTGAAGCAGAAAAAAAAAAAAAAGTTTACTTATTTTCTAACCTCAGCAGGAACTGTGATAGTTGTCATGCTCTCGTTTGGATCGTCATATCCAATATGTTGCCTGTACAGTTTTAGACCATCTATTCTGAAGATCTTCGCTGGTTTTTCACCTTGCTAACGCGGCCATATGGTGTTCTATATATGTGCTGGAAAACATCTTGAGCGAAGGAAGCAGTCGACACCAAGGCGGAGCGCTTTTATCTGCAGACTGCGTCCTACCGACGACGGTCTCAGACGCACAGATTCAGATTTCGAAGGCTTTAATATTTATACAAACACCCTAAATTCTACTTTAGTGGTTAAACCAACAACCATAGAGGGACCTCAATGCATATTTTACCAAATTTGATAGGATTTAGATGAAGCAGTTTGGCTATAAAACCATAAAGAAACATGTCAGGTGTTCTAGCCAGTGTGTATTATGGCCGTGTGGTTTCTATACAGTTTGCTCTTGGAAGGCATTTTAACACGAGATTCATTTTACAGACGACTTTATTTTAATTACGCTTATTTGGGTGATTAGTACGACTTAATCGAAGGTAATTGTGATATTTTATTGCCGTGTCGTGCTAATTGTTTGGTTTGGCGTGATTAAGGGGGGCAGTGAAGTGGATGATTTGGTATCCGGGTTTCATTGGAGACGTCGTGACCTTTATCTTAACCCACATCTGGAACTGTCAAAGTAACCACTGCAGCACCAGGTTGGTTTAAAAAAAAAAGAGCCAGCGTTTGGACAATAGGAAGAAAGTTTTTGCACAAACAGCAAACAGCAGGACTGATAAGGCATAAAAGCGGCGTTGTTTATCGGTTCAGCCCAAAAAAGTTAATGCAAATGCTCTACATTAAAGAGAATTCCTGAGGTTTTCATCTCTCTTTGATATTTTTCTTTAAATGTAGAAGTACCCTAATCAGCCAAAATCCTGATTCCTTATCCCCAAAATGAAGGGTCCTTAATTCAGCGCCGCTGCTCTCTCCTTGGTAATTATCAGGTGGGACAATTTAACATCCCCGCTCAGTTTCCAGATCTGATACGCCTAACCCAACTCCTGATTTATACTCAAGGCGAAATCATTCCTTTTCTTCCTCAATCTCTCCGCCTTGATATCGCCGCCGCCGCCGCCGCCGAACACGTGCCGACACACACTCCGACACTTCCTGCCCATAAACCTTCGGCGGTGGATAACAATAGAGCGTTCCTCTGCAAAGACAAAAGAAGGAGTGCGGCCTTAAAAAATGCATGAGGAACCCCTTTTAAAATCTATTAGCTTACTTTTAGTCGGGGCAGATTGCTTCGTAGTAATGCTCCTTTGAAGATGAATCACTCGAGTGTGACACGAAAATAGCAATAATACCTGTTGCGCGGACGGTCGGGTTGTTTTATTATGAATTTTTCATCGGGCGGAGAAAACAAAAGAACAGAGCGGAGATTTGTACAACAACTAAAAGAAAGGAAAAAAAAGAAGCTAATGCCCTCTATTCTGTGGCTTTTCACTTTGTCTCCACTATTTTAAATATTCATCAATACCCCAGCTGACATCGCGCGCCTTCCCAGAGCCGCTTCAAAACAATAGACCCAATGACCCATCATGCATAGGGAATTATGCTTTTAGACTTTTAGACTCAACTGATTTCGCTATTTAGCAGCGTGGTGTCGAGTTATCTCTGGCTGGGGAAACAAAAGGGCGTCATGAATACTGCATCGCTGGCCGAAGCTTAAGAGACTCCCAAGTTGGACTGAACTTTTGACTCGGTCGGCGCTCATAAAAACCTCGAAAACCCAGAAACCCTAAAACCCTTTTTTTAAATATTATTTTTTCTTAAATTACCTTGTGCATTGTGTGTAATGTTCACTGGAGTGAATTAACATCAGCGCAGTTCAAAGCAGGAGATAACAGTGTAATTAATTTTCATATCTACAGCTGCCAGTACTGAGCTGAAGCTTTAATAGACGCTTTAGATCTGCGATTTCTTTCTCGCAGCTGTTGATGAGCCCTATTTTATTTAACGATAACTCCGACATTGGACCAATTACAAGCAAAACGTCTTCTTTTTTTTAATGTTTTCTGTCTCACGTGAATAGTTTTTTCATCTTTTCCAAACATGTGCTTGGGTAGCAGCTTGACTCCAGCAATACCCCCCTCCAACCCAAAAAAAAAATAGAAAAAAAAGTGTTTTGCCCCGAGGAGAAATTGCAAACCATTGATCTTTTGAACTCTTGATGGGAGTTTTGGCTGTAATATTTATCAAAGAGACTCACGCTAAACTATTTTGACACGATCGTGTTCACTTCAAGGCTGGAGTTAAAGAGAGGACGCGGACAAATCAGAGCTGAAACAGAAAATTTGATGGAACCAAAGCTGGTGGAGAGAAAAAAAAAAAACAAAAAGAAAAGTTTTATTTTTTCTCTTTAACTGAAGTGGTTTTGTTATCACTCTCATTACGGAGAAAAAAGACCGGAGGGCGTGAATATGCGCTCGGCCTGTTTCTCTTAATGACTGAGTCAAGTCCAGTTTGAGGCTCTGTGCTGGAGAAAACAAGCATGTTCCATATTCATGAGGAGTAGCCTTTTAAGATCAAATGGCGACGCGAAGAGAAAGAAATGACAGAATGGTGGCGTCTGCCCCACGAGAAATCAACCCACGAGCAAGGCACCGCATCCCCGACCTCTGACCCGGTGGCGAATAAAGGACGTCAACCTATCTGTGGAGCTCCGCCGGTGAAATTATTAATGAAAAATGGCCCTTTTAAGATCAAATAGAATGGAGTGATGAATGGAGCTGTCGCCGGCTCCTTTTCAGATCTCTCTTGTATTTTTTCTTTTTGCATTCAGAGCAACTGGTGCAAGAACCAAAGATGCGTTTCAACACAGACGGACACCCAGCCAACACTTTTATGCCTTTTGTTGTGCTCGCCGGCCCAGAGATTGATACGGTTTCGCCGCCCCCCCCAAAAAAAATTCATTCCCGAGAAAAGCGTCAGCTCAGCACGGCCGAAGTACGTCGGGCCCCCATTACTAGATTGGAATGTATATGCAATCCTCAGCACATTTTCTGGAAATGACCATTCAGAATGAGTAATGAATGCCAACATCACATTACACCTAACTCATATACATGAGCCCGGAGGGGGGCGGCGGCGGGCAGCGGATCACTGCGGTTTAATTCTCTGGTTTACGTCGAAAATGGACGCCGTTAAACAAACATTTGATTTTTTTTTTTCTGCAGGTATTCCATTGACTGGAAGAGCGACCTGGACAGCTACTTTGACATTGATCCAGTGGAGGGAACGATTTCCACCAACGAACTCCTCGACAGGGAGAGCATCGCTCAGCACAATATCTCCATCGTGGCGACCAAACTTAGTAAGTATGACAACGGGATCAATGGTGATTCATGCAGGTGTCGTCGTCCTCCCCCCCTCCTCCCTCCGCCATAATCTGTGTGAAGGATTTAACACACTTTTACTCAAGTCAATACTCAATCCCATTTTGCTGGAAAGGTTTATAGGTGACTATAAACCATGATAGCTCTCCCAGAGGGATGTATCTCCAGGACATTGTCTCCTCTAGCATACTTGCCTCAACTCTGTTTTCATTTTTAACTGCCCTTTTTTTTTTCTTCTCCATTTGATGACATTGGCATTGGGAGGGAGCTCTTTTTTTTTTTTCTTCCTCTCGCCAGAGTCAACTTTTACTTACACCGCAGTAAAATGTGAACCTTTACAGCGTTTTTACAGCGAGCAGATGCAGGCGGCGGCGGCGGCGGCGTCACAGCGTGTCGTGAGCCAAGCTCGGGGAGAAGATGGAACTAATGCGGAGCCGCGGCTTTAAGACATGTCATCAAGCTAATTATGTTTTTATGAAGGAAGTGGAGCAAATTTCCGGATAAATAAGCAAATCTATCGTCATCAAGTCATCAAATCTGCTAAGAACCGTCAAAGTCATTATCCCAGAGGCAGGCTGGTGCTCAATCAAAATTACACACGCCGTATATTCATTAGGACAGACTGTGAAATATGGGCTGTTAAAACTTGAGTCATTGTCGCCTTGGAAACTGATATTACTCACTTCCCCTCAAGGTCATGGCAGTGACATGCTAATTCTGTTTTCAATGTGTGTGTGTGTGCGCCTTTGTGTGGCTTTATGTGCATAAGTGCCAAGAAAATTGGAGGGATGAGGTTAGGCTGAAAGGATGCAGCGTGGATGGAGGAGGAGGAGGAATTTACAAGGCCGCTGCGTGTTCGGTGTTTCCTGCTGGATGCAGGAAGCGGTCGTATTTCTGCTCCCTCCTTATCACCTGCCTGCCAGTCGACGCTCCGATCTGGCCCTCCTGCCCTCTCGGGTAGCCCCCTTCTCACAGGACTAATGTTTGGACAATTTTACTCGCTGACAGAAAAGGAAAATCCAGAGCTAGTGTTTAAAAAAAAATCGTTGAACTGGTGCAGTCGGAGCAGAGATAAAGCCCCGCGCACCCCAGAGTTTGTGTCCCAGCTTGAGTTCAATTCTGTTTTTGACCTTGAGCGAGATTTGGCAGAACTTTCTGCTCTGGATATTGGATAGCTGTTATGGCTCCTCTGCGCTGCTTTCTATTGTCGTCGTCGGCATGTTGTGTGTCTGTGTGTGTGTGTGATTCGGTTTTTAAAGCATGAAGAACAACGCCGGAGCAAAGGTACCTTGGATGCCTTCATTGAGGAGAGGTCACGGGAAAAAAAAAAAAAAAAATCTGCAGCCTCAATCGGCGTTGCACAGCAGTTTTCAATAAACGGCAAATTATTACAGACCCTTGTGTTTGACCTACCTCTGCATCCACTGAGTGTCCTTGCTGCTAATGCTTTTTAACATTTATCCGCCCACTCCTTTCATGTTCCCCGTTACAACGGCTTAGCGGGTGAAACGTCCGGCGACATTTCCCTTCAATAAAGGAAGCCACTCTGCAACCATCAACACCTGAGTTGGAGGCTTTTCCCTTTTGGCGAACCTCGGAGATCTGTGCGGTCATCTCTAGACACTGCAGTCATGCAGCAAAAATGAGAGCAGTGTGCGCCGCTCTCCCGAGACACGGTGCACAGCAGAAGGCTTTTGCTAAATAAGAACCAGGGGTAGATTAGCGGTTTTGGCATTTTAGAAACCCAGCAGCAATTTTTCGTGGGGAGACAAAGAGAGTGAGAGGGGAGGAGGGGGGGTGAGATCTATTAAATGCAATAATAACCTTGGCAGGAGGCAATTAAGGAGGCACGCTTACTATCTATTTACAGCAAATGAATTTAGTTCCACACTCATCACCGAGTTTTGCGTGGCGAGTTTTTGCTGACTCGCTCCTGCCGACAGTTGCACTTTTGAGCAGATTGATGTCCACGAGGAATCTCTCCATCTCTCTTCTGCACCACGTTTTATGGATTTGTGGTTGATTGCTTGCAAAGATTGAGGCTTTTTTTTTTTATTAAAATGAGCTTAATTAGAAATAAAGTAATGCAGAGGAGAAAGGCAGGATAAGGCCGGCGACTTTATGGCGAACCGCTGAAGCGTTCCATGCAGGATATTCAGATTCAGGAAATAAATAAATAGAGCATGTCTTATTGAGGGGGAAACGCTGATGCCAGTCGGATCTGAAAATAACTACTGTACCATTGCTCCATCTAGTGGGCTGAGTGATGTATCGCTTATGAAGACAACAGTTATGGAGATGAGGTTGAACTAGTAAGTTTGGGACTTTTATTAAAGAGTAATATCAGATCTTTTTGATGGAGGACCTGGATGATAGAAGAGACTTTTCGCTGGCTGAGCAACAATGTTAGTAGTTCGGTTAGTGCCAAAGCAGCAAATCCCATGCTCGGTGTCATTTTTACCTCGCTGGGAAGATTGCTTTTTCCATCAAGGTCAGAGACGGGTTACTAACTGAGCCGTGGCTGCTCCTCCAATCCCCCCGAGTCCGACTCTTACAGATCCCCCCTGCTTCTTCTCAACCAACAGCATCCCCCCCTACACACAAAGCCCACGCACCTGTATGTACCTATGCACTGGCGCTCACACAAACAAGCGCGCGCTAAGCCTCCCACTGCACAAGCAAAAGCCTATTCCCACATCAAATCCATAAAGTTTGCCTTACTTGGGCTTCCACACAAGAGAAAACAGAACATTTCCCCCATTGTGCTCCTGCAGAGAGAGAACAGTGCAACAAACAACCCCGGATTCAAGTTAGTCCTGCACAAGGGGGCTTTCAAACTATAATTAAAATGCGATCTTATGGCTCGAACCTGCAACAGAACCTGGGTGAGAATTTAAAAAAACATAATCTCCCCATGGAGCCGTATTCCATAATGTTTTATTTGCAGGCAGCACATGGGATGAATTAAGCCCCTGTGTGTGTGTTTATTTAATTCTGCTTTTCATCATGAATCAAAAGCAGCATCATAAAAAAAACAGCGGCGTGCAATTTATGCATCGCCATGTTCCGGACACATCAGAGGTGTTTTTTTTTTCTTCATCCCAGCGTTTAAGCAGGATGACTTACGGTGCAGCCAGGCGTCCATTCAAGGACACCGTGGACGTTCGGGCACCGGCAGCCTCTTTAACCGCTCAGCCGTCCCACTGCAACCGTGATAAACCTCTGAGCTCGTCATAAGATGGCAGTACTTTAGACATCCACATGATGTCAGTGCTGTGAAAAAGGAAAACAAAATAACACTCCCATGTTGTGTTTTTTTTTTCCCTCTCTGCAGACAGTCCGGTTCTGACCAGCCGGGTGGCCGTCACCGTCCACGTGCTGGACATCAACGAGTTCCCGCCTGAGCTGGCCAGTCCCTACGAGACCTTCGTGTGTGAAAACGCCAAAGTGGGACAGGTACGTTCACAGCTAACCTCCTTCCTGTCTCTTTGCTGTGTGCACCTGTCGTGGCGTTAAGCACGACTAATGCACTCAGTGTTGATTTTCTCAGAGGGGGCGACAGCTGCTGATTGAGCCGATACGTCTTTAAACACCATCCAAAGGTGCTAAAGTGAATCTGAAAGGTGTGGATGTAAATACACTGTATGGAAAGACACATAACCTCTTTTTTTCCCCTCACTATCTGCATTAAATCAGACGAAACTCTTCCTGTTTTAGGTCAGTTAGAATTATCAAAGTTATTTCTATTTGTTAAATGCCAGAATAATGAGAGAGGGAATTCTTTTTAGAGATTTTTTTTCCTTTAAAGTCAGAAGTTTACATCCACTAAGATGCCTTTAAACTATTTGGGAAAGCCCAGATGATGATGTCATCGCTTTGGAAGCTTCTGATAGGTTAACTGACAATGTGAGTTAACTGGAGGCACACCTCAAACACACTGTTTCCTTTTATGTAAACATGGGAAAATCTAAAGACGTCAAGAAGATATCAGGAAGAGAATTGTGGACTTCCAGATGGTACAGTTTCCAGATGCCTGAAGGTTCCACGTCCATCTGTTCAAACAATTATACCCAACTATAACCACCATGGGGATGTCCAGCCATCATAGCGCTCAGGAAGGAGACGGTTCTGTGTCCCAGAGATGAAGTGTTTTGGTTGAAATGTGCGAATCAACCCCAGAACAAAAGCTGAAGACCTTGTGATGATGCTGCTGAAGCTGGTCAGAGTCATTATCCACAGTGAAACCAGTCCTGTACCGACATGAGCTGGAAGGATAGTCAGAGAGGAAGAAGACGTTACTCTTCATTTTCGTACACATGTCTTGTGGTCTGATGAAACTAAAACTGAACTGTTTGGCCTTAATGACCGTCGTTACATTTGGAGGAAAAAGGGGGAAGTTTGAAGCCTGAGAACACCATCCTAACTGTGAAGCACGGGGGTGGCAGCATCATGCTGTGGGGCTGTTCTGCTGCAGGAGGGACTGGTGCACTTCACAAAATAGATGACATCATAGGGAAAGAAGAAGCAACATCTCAAGACATCAGCCAGGAAGTTAAAGCTTGGACACTAATGGGTCTTCCAAATGAACAATGACCCTCAGCATACCGTCAGATTAGTTACAGAGAGGCTTCAGGACAACAGAGTCAGTGCTGTGGAGTGGCCATCACAAAGCCCTGATCTCCATCCTGGAGAACATTAGTGGAGCAAGGAGACCAACAAACCTGACTCAGCTCCACCTGTTCTGTCAGGAGGAATGGGCCAGAACTCATCAAACTATTGTGAGAAGCTTGTGGAAGGAAACCCAGAACGTTTGACCCAAGTCATACAGGTTAAAGGCAACGCTACCAAATACTGAGGAATGGATGTAAACGTCTGACTTTGAAAAAACAAACAAACAAAAATTCTCTAAATAAATCTCTCTCATTATTCTGGCATTTAGCAAATAGAAATAATTTTGTTAATCCTGACTGACTTAAAACAGAAAAACTTTCGTCTGATTTAAAGTCAGACAGTGAGAAAAAAAAAAAGGTCATGTGTCTTTTTGTATGTAAATTTCTGGTTTTAACTGTATATTAACACCAGTAAAGCATCACTGCTGAAGCTTTGGCAGGAATAAACGCTGCAATTGTGATATTTTTCCTGCTTTTTTTGGAACCCCACATTACCACATTTAACTCTCTTGTGTTTTACCCAAGGTGACTTGAATAAAAACCTTTTTTTTTTTACTATTTCAAGGGATTTTTTTTACTTTGCAGAGAACCCCTTCAGCACGGATCAAAAATCTGATTGTGTCATAGGGTTCGATTCGGCGGGAGAGGCAATCATAAAGCACAGCGGTGCTTTGCATATCAGGCAACCTGGAGTACATTTCGGATGATATATTTGAGATGCAGCGGAGAAATTTGCCTGTGCGCATTGTAAACCACCTGTGCCTGTAAATTAGCCCATTAACTGGCATCTATATGCAGTTAGCGTTGTGAGGGAACAGCTTCTTTGGCAGTCTATCAAATCACTGTAGACGCCTCATCACACTGAGGATGTTGTTGCCGGTCCTCAGGCCTGTTGCAATCAAAACAACGGCTGTGCCCTCTATCTGACGGCATCACCGTCTTCCTCGGCATGTGCGTTTGCCATGTTTTCCGCCTTCACGATGGAGCCCGTTTTTATTTATTTATTTTCTGCTGCTTCTTTGGACAATCTGACCAAAACCACATCCACACGGCTCCAAACTCTTAATCAATAATGTTCTCCTTCATGATTTAACTCTAATTCTTGGCAATTTAAAACTTCTTCTATGAATAGCGTGACCTTCGCCGTGCAGGAAACACAAGGTTTTCACGTTTATCTCCTCTTGGAAGAAGGTTTGCCTGTTTTCTCCTTTAGCAGCTAGTTTTGGGAGAAAATTGTGATCCGACGTGCGGCTGAGCAAAGCGTGATGTCAACACATGGAGCCACCGATGCACAAACACTGAGCTGTTTTTTTACTGATTTATGAGACGTCTTGCTTTCAGAAGTTTAACTATAAAGAAAGGTTTTTACATGCTGATGGATTCAGGATGCACGAGGGATGCCGAGTTGATGCCGTTTTAAGATATTTGAATTAGAAAATGTAAGATTTTGGTACACAGATATGATGAAATAGGATGGATTTGGGACCTAGATGGTGTAAATTTGCAGCTCTCCGCACCAAATAATCCAAAACAAGATGGAGAAACACGTTTGAAACCATGCGGAAAAGCACAAAAAGGAGATTTTAAACCGCATCATCATCATCCCCCCCTTTTCCTCTTCCTTATTCCCTCGCTCTAATCTCCCGCTTCTCTTCCTCCCGGCTCCTCTTCCAGAATATACGCTTTCCTGCGGCGTCGCCACAGCGTGAGTCCGCCAGGTGTTGTGCACAGCTGCGGGGACGATAAAGAACCGCAGATCCTTCTCTCTTGTAAAAAAAAAATCCATCACACATTTTCCCTTGATGATTATCTGCTCTCGCGCACAACTGAGGAAACATACAAACCGCTTGTTCTGGAGTGTCTCACGCTGCGGCGCAACTTCTGATTGAAAATAATCTGTAACCGGCACCAAACCGAGCAAGAGGAGCGGCTGATTATTTCCATGTAAATGTGCCGGAGAGGGGGGGAAAGCCTGAGATTTGCAAAAAAAAAAAAAGAAGATCAGGAAGTTATACAGTAGGGCCTTTTCATAATTTACTGTACTGGGAGTCAACTGGTCAAGTGTGAAATGAGAAAAAAGTATCCACAAAGGGAACGTAAAACAAGTTATTTCCTACCGGGGACTTGTGCACATTAGATATATTCAGGAGCAGCCGGCGCTATAATGTGCTCCTGCTGTTTAAAGTATTTGCTTTGCCTTTTGCGACGCTATATTGAAACGCTAACCTAGTGAATCAGTTTGTTATGCCGAGGATAATTACATTTACATTTACAGCATTTAGCCGCCACTCTTATCTAGCTTAACTCACAATGCGGCTGAGTGCGAATGCAGAATGCACTTGAAGCCATTTAACACGTACAATAGCGGCGAGTAATAAGCAGCTACTGCGGCGCCAAGCTCCACTTGTGATGGAGAGGAGGTGGGAAGCACTTTTGAGGGCAATAAAAGGAGGATTTGTAAATGACAGACTGTAATAAATAAATATATATATATGTAGAAATCGAAATATAATATTACCAAAACACAAAGAATCATTAAAACTGTACAGAAAAGTACAAAAAGTAGATTTAAGCTGCATCATCGTCGTCTCTCCTCTCCTCCTTCAATTCCTCTTTCTTATTATTATTATTATTATTAATCTCCTGCTTCTTTTCCTTCCTCTTCCTCTGTGGCTTCTCCTCCAGAATATACATTTTCCTGGCGGGTATATTCTGGAGGAGATATAAACTGCAGGAATGTGTATATCCCACATTTTTTTTGCCGCTGGTACCAAACATGAATGTTCTCGCAGTGAGGAGGCAAGAATCAATTTTTGAAAATTCAAAATTTTGGAATCCATAATTGATTCTTGGCTCTGAAATGTGCTTAAAACAAGAGTGATAGGGGCATTACATGAAAATATTACTCCAAAAATAACAGGCAATTTGAGAAATTGTCCAAAATATCTGCCAACAAAACTGCAGCAAGATTTTCTCCAACTGAAGGTGTAAATACACTTTGTACCATTGTGAAATATTTATATTTTCATAAATAGCCATGAATTCTTCTTTTTTTGCTATTTAGATTTTAAATTCATGTGATTTAAACCCAAATAAATGCAATATAATGAATATAAGAGATTTTATAATACAACTATATTACTATTAGTACTATTATTATTATAAATACATAAAATATAGTACAATAAAATACCTTAAATCTGCATTTATCCTATGTGCATTGGCATTTTTGGAAATTTTAAAAAAGATAAATATCTGTGATGAATGTCTACTTATCAGTATCTACAGTTATCTACTTAACTGAGGTTATAATATATAAATGACAGGTTTCTATTGAAGCTGAAATGGTTTTTTCCATTGATTAGCTCGCTTTCAACTCAGATTTTTAAACCGTTTGCCGAGAGGTCCAACCAGGGCTCTTTCCAGGGATGTGTCCTTCCACCGGGCCGGCCGTTGCTCCCGGTAATGTTTGATGGACGTCATCTATTATTTCTGACGTAACTGATTTACCGGGGACCCGAAACAAAAAAAACAAAAGATCGATAGTTTAAACACTAATGAAAAATAACTGTTGTTGCTCGGATTTATTCATCACAAAGGTAATTTGGTTTGCAGGGAATCAATAGCGCGAACTGTACATCTGCTGCGGGGAACACAACAGAGCACTCATCACACCTGGTGTCAGGTTGACTCCCCCTGGAGGGACTTTCATTTAAATACTGAGAGCGAGAGCAACATAGTCGGGGTGATGTAACGGGGACAGGAGGGGTTGATTAGTGCCTCCTGGATGTTTGTGGCGGTTGGTGGTTGGTGGTTGGTGGTGGTGGGATTCAGGACTGAAGGTCTCCAGCAGGTCAACGCCAGTGAGTGAGGAGGAGCAGACTGGTGGCACAGCTGGGTTGGCAGGACAGACGGAGCTCCGAGACGTTCGGGGAGAAACAGAGGGACGTAGAAAAGCCGTCAGCAGTCTAGCACAGAGGCGGCTGAGTCAGCAGTCTGTGCCTAACAGGGCGGAAGTGCAGAGAATGGAGCCGCCGCCGCTTGGTTTGGTGTTGTCTGAGTAAACTGTTTTGCTGAGGTGTTGATCGAACGGTTCTGCAGATGTACGACGTAAAACAGCTGGTCTCCTATGAAAGCTCCAGCGCTTCTCACTGATGTCAATCCATCACACGAGGCGTTCAGGTGATGTGGAAATTTCAAGCAGTTTTCAATCAGGCGCTCAGCGACTGCATCAGGAGTGATTGTGGGAACAAGTCGCCGCCTCGTCTCAGCGCCGCCGACGCACAGTCAATTAAAGTCTGGTTGACACTTGTGTTCAGTGTGCGATAATTCTCACCTTCCACCAGTGAGTCGGCTGACAATGTTCTGTCAGTTCTACTATCAATACACTCCACAACAACGGCGATAACATTTAGACTATTAGTCAAATGAGCTCCTGTTCTTATAATCAAACCATGATTCTCCTTCCTGTCTTTCACCAGGTGATCCAAACGTTCAGCGCAAAAGACCAGGATCTACCGACCGCCGGACAACAGTTCTCCTTCAGGTCAACAAAAGAAGATCTAAAAAACAAGAACTTCACCATCCGGGACTTTGGAAGTGAGTGTTTTCATCTCAGCTAGCAGGGAACGTTCCCACAACATTGGCAAGGTCTAGTCATAATACAATTAGTTTTGATCTAATGTTCTTAGAATGGTTTAGCAATATAGCTATCATCTCCATTCCAATGTTCCTATGAGGTTAAAAGTGAACTAAGACTATCAGCTGAAACATTCAGAAGATGTTTGGAGGAACACAGATTATGTTCCATGACAACAAAGAAAGAACATTCTCAAAGCAACATTCAAAAAATATTTTCTAGATGTCATCAAGGTATGAGATCATGGCTTATAAAAAGTTCTTGCATGTGATATATTAAAAAAATAGCAGTGGAGCATTCTTTCTGCAATGTTTTGAGGACATTGTTGACGGAACACAGTATAGAACATCCTTCTATGAAACATTCTCACAATGTTTTGTGGAATGTTTTCCGGCAACATTCGAAAACATGTTTCCCAGATGTTAACGAGATCTCACGTGACAGAATGTTGGGTGTTTTTTTATTATAAGAAACTAGTGTAACGTTCCTGATACCTTAAAGGTAGAACTTTTAACCTTGTTGTTGGGTAAACCCATCATAAAATACGCTTCTATGAAATGTTCTCACAATGTTCCATCATAGCAAAGTAAGAAAGTGTTCCAACAACAATCAAAAAAATGTTTCGCAGATGTTATCGATACCTCGCATGACTTAATGGTTTTTTTTGTTTTTTTTTAAACAAGAAATGTTTCACCACGTTCTTCTTGAGATAGTAAAGTTAGAACATTTAGCCTTGTTATTGAGGGAACACATCATAGAATGTTCTAAGAAAGGAAGGATGTTCTCAATGCAACATTCTGAAAACATTTCTAAGACGTTATCAAGACCTCAGATGATAGATTTGTTTTCTGACATTCCTGTCATGCAATATATTGCTAAAGTTGGAAAGTTTGCCTGCACTGTTTTGAGGCAACACCTTGTAGAATCTATAAAAAACGTTCCCACAATGTTCCACGTACAACATAACAACGGAAGAACAGTGTGACATTCAGTTTTGAGCACGCTGGAGCATCTAACAATGTTATCAACAAACGTCAAACCCTTTAACTAGAAAACTGTAGTGAATAAAATAAAACTTCTCGCTGACAATATCAGTAGAACTTTGCAGAACTTTCACAGAGGGCTTCTGGAGCACAAAAGTCCAGCAGGGATAGTCCTACACTGTTTGACATACCTGTAATATCTGGTGAAACAACAGTTTATGTCGTGAGATATTAAAACTAGACCCTGCATTAAAACCCACGTTCCCAGTGTGCTGCTCTAAGCCTCCCAGAGCGGCATTTCTCAGCGCTTAGAACAACTTAACCACATGCAGTCAGACGTTTTCATATGATAAGGCCACACGTGACACTCTGCAGCGCGCACCGGCCGAGCCCTTTGAAGTCCAACCAGAAAGACGGGTAATGAAAAGTGGGACATGGCAGGATGAGGCCGGGGAAACGAATGCATTCACCATCCCTGACAAGCCCTGGTCCGAACCTCTGATCCAGTTTTTACCTTTTGGACACACTGTCTTGCAGCTTCCTGAGTGCCAGCAGCCTTGGAAGCACACTCTCCAGATACAGAGTGAGATCTGACAGGCAGGGACAGGAAATACAAACACCACGGGCGCCGAGGACGGGGTTCAGCGAGAGAGGGAGCACAAACAAAATCGCGGCAGTGCACAACATGCAAGGTGTGCTAAAATACCTGACCTCCTGTCAACGGAAAGTGCTGGGCTTTGTCAGTGGAACAAACCCGGCTTGACAGGGGTCAGACAGTCTAGCTGCAGCAGACAGAACCGGGCAGGTTCAGCCTGACACGTTCCCTCTCGCTCGTATACGTTGTCGGCCTCTATTCAACTCGCCGTCCTTACACCTCCGGCTGTCCTCCCAAGTTGTTCCCTTTTGTGTAGCTTTTATTTTTTTTCCTCTAAATCTAATATCTATCATTGCTAATCTGCTATTTCTGTGCAAACAGAATGACAGCAGAACCCGACAGTGTTTCAGGGAATACCGGACTGGGTGTGGTTGGGCTCGAACAGCTTTTTAAAGTAAGCGGAGTAAAATGGTGAGAGCTTTGATAAGACAACTCTTTGATATGTCTTATCGCATTCAGAGAGGCACATTTGGAGAGGATTCGATATCAAACGTTAAAAGTGTTATCGGGCGTTGAAAAGTTTCATCTCTCTCATACTTGGACCTCCGGACTTGTAATGCAGCTCGAAGGATTGTCTGATTGATGTGAGGTTATAGCGAGAGGAGTATTTGCTTTTGGTCAGAACACTTTCTACCCTGTGTAGATCAAGAAATAATCAGACTACTTCAGGTTTCCCCGAGATTCATTTACCACATATAATCGAGGACTGTTTTGGAGGTTCCCTTTGTGTTTTTATTTTTATTTTTGATGGGCTGATTCTTCTTGTTCTTGCAGATAACACAGCTGGAATCGTGACCAAGCGCGGCGGGTTCAGACGGCGTTTGCAGGAGATCTACTTCCTCCCTGTGGTGATCGAAGACAACGGATACCCGCCCAAGAGCAGCACGGGCACGTTGACCATCCGCGTGTGTGGCTGCGAATCGGACGGTTCCCTGTTGACCTGCAGCGCGGAGGCCATCTTCCTCCCCGTCGGTCTCAGCACAGGAGCTCTGATCGCCATTCTTCTATGTATCGTCATCCTGTTAGGTGAGATCTTCTGGCTCGGAAACATTCGTCAAGTTACCACAAATAGCTTTGATTTGACTGTTGAACGTGAGACTATAGCAAGGGCGCAGTTAGCTTAGCATAAACACTGGAGGTAGGGGGAAACTGCTAGCCTAGCCCTGTCCAAAGGTATAAGAATAAGCGTCCACTAACACATGCATTTATTTCTAAAAGTATAGAAACTAGACTTTCCAGTTTTATTGGGGATTAGGCGCAGAGACGTCCTGGAGTCTCCGCTGGTTGCCTGGCAATCTCACAGCAACAACACAACTTTAGGACAGCGGTATTGATCCTCTCATCCAGCTGCTGTCAAAAAGACAGGAGTTGACATTTCATGAAATGTCAAAGTATTGACATTTCAACTCCGCAACTATTCCTTTACTGTTGCCGTCTGCAAAGTTCAAGAGAAATTTTTGAATTTGGAGATTTTCCGCTAGCCAAATCCTGCCCTTAATTTGGCTTAAACAGAAAATCCATAATGTCTCAGCAAAACCGTATTTTGTGATTTAGTTCTGAAATCTTCTCTCGCGCAGTTTCTAAAAGCAGGCGGGCTCGAGTTAAGGCTTATTGAAAGAGACTAGACTCGATACCAAACTGATGCGCTGATATACATCTAAGGTATAGATTTGCTGAAATACTTAATTTTTTTTTTTTTTTTGTCCACACTTTTGACAACACCCTCCTCCAAACACGCTGATCTGACCGTCAGAGTTGGGCTGGCGTCTCTCCAGGAGTGTCTCCAGTTAATTATGGAACCCTTATGAATTTTGTCATTCAATGAGACGTTAAAGATTGGAGGGAGGGACGCTTGGCTCAATAAACTAAATCCAATCTCGCTGCCCTGTGGCTGCTTCCCAAGCTCCGGCTTTTTACATTCCCCACAAGGTCACGGTTGTAAAACTCCTCCTTAATTCTCTGCCATTAATGTCCGACCTCATCTGCATACCTGGGAGGAAATAAATGTAGGTTTATGGCATCGTTTTCTGAATTATGAATGTGGGATGGACGGTTGTTAAAGAAGTTCTCGTTTTACACTGGAAGTCAAGGGTAGCCGTGACCTTTGAATTTAGCTGTATTTACTTTACTCTATCTCCTTCTAATTTACGGTCCAACAAAGGATCCACTGTTGAATTCCGGCTATGCCTCGTCATTAATCCCGTTTCATTATCCTCATGAATGTATTCATGTGAAACATCAGCTCGAGTGTCATTGTTTTATATGAGACTGAACATAAAAGCACACTCGCCAGTCGTAGCTGTGTGCTGTAGAGCCGTGTGTCCGTGTGTTCGCTTCATCTCACAAGAATGTCTTCAAAGCTCCCAGTCGACTCAGCCCCAAGGCTGAGGCTGACGCCAAACTCTCATGCTGTCCCTGTGAAGGGAAAGTGGCAGAGAAAATCAGGACTCACACTGAGAACATTTCCATAGAGCCACTTAGTTTCTGTGCAGGATTTGTCAGGATGACCCAGTTGTCCTGTGCAGGGAAATTATGAAGTAAATTAAACAAACCAGCACGGAGACTTTCATCTGCGCTGCCATTTCTTGCAAAACGGAAGTGGATTGGCTGCACCTAATGACAAGCTGAGTTTTCAACCCGTGTGCCCTGTAATAACCGTCTGCTGGCTGAATCTGCAAAGGTGCCACTGGGGGGAGCTGGCACACTACACAAAGGTAGATAAAAATCACTTGGGAGTGAAGGAAGGCAGAGAGGAAGTGAGATACAGAGAGAGGTTGAAAGAAAGAGACCTACTTAGGGCTTCTTTTTCTTTTTTTCCCCCCCCAAACTGAATGTATTTATTGGACTCTTTCATTTGAATGATTTCAGTTTTATCCTGGCCATTGCTCTTCCCTTCTAGATACAACTGTATATTAAAAAACCCAGAGGAAAAACACATATTTTACTGCATTTCTCACTGAAAAGGCAGGGAAAGGGACGCAGGGGGAGATAGACTCAGAGAAACAGATTGCACTGACAGGAGAGAGAGAAGGGAGGGCTGGAAATTTACTGCAACACTATGTGTGGAAAATAACACAATGGTACTGTAGTTTCTAAAGCATGCAGAGCCTCACGTAACCTCACAAGGGGGTTGCGTGATGAAGCAATAAACTGTTGCTTTGGGTGTGCACTGCAGTTTTAACCCCAGCAGTGTTGTGTTTCTCATGCAAGCTAATACGAGCATGCAGAAGGAGTTGATTTGCAGGTCAGAAGATCATCTAAGATGCATTTAGCTGTACTCGGTGTAATTGAGAACAACTGTGTAATTGAAATAATGGGCAGCGTATGACCTAGAATTAAGAATCTACAGTCGTGCGAGCAGCTCTGTGAGGCTGTGAAGTGCTTAGACACAGTGGAGCTTAAAGTCAATTGCATGCTACCATGCTCATAATGACTACACTAATGGTCAGTGCTAGCAGGTAGTGTTAACCATTTTAGTTTAGCAATCTAAAACTGGTTAATGAGCTAATAAGCACTGATGGGAATTGTGCAGTTTTGCAGGTAATCTGTCATAAACCAAAGTGCAAGACAAATAAGAAACTTTGACAAATTGAAGTGGTGCCATTAGAAGAGTCAGGAGACGTCCATCGTCACTGGGATTCATCATCTGGGGACTATGTATGAAAAGCCACAGCAATTCATCCGGTGGCCACCGAGCTATTTCAGGCTCGATTAAAGTGACAGATCCCTACAGCCGTTGCTGCCGGTGGGGCCAAAATTGATTTCTTGATATCTGCTGTCGAACAAACTTCAACTAAATCTAAACCAGCTTCGACGTATCGTTTTTTTTTTCCTCACAAGAGAAACGTCAAAGGCATATTAATTTAGCTCCGCAGACAGTGATCTAACACGTGGCTGTCTCGATGTCTTCCCTCAGTGATCGTGGTGCTCTACGTGGGTTTGAGACGGCAGAAGAAAAAGGAAACCCTCATGTCATCCAAAGAGGACATCCGGGATAATGTGATCCACTACGACGACGAGGGAGGCGGGGAAGAGGACACGCACGCCTTCGACATGGGGACGCTTCGCAATCCCAAGGTTGTCAAGGAGAACCTGTACCGCAGGGACGTCAAACCTGAGTTGAAGAGAGGCCCCAAGCCGCCCGTCTCTCAGGACAGCGCCGACATCCGAGACTTCATCAACCAGCGTCTGAAAGAGCACGACACGGACAACTCGGCGCCGCCCTACGACTCCTTGGCCACGTACGCCTACGAGGGCGACGGCTCGGTGGCCGAGTCGCTCAGCTCCATCGAGTCCCTCGCAATAGACCTCGAGGAGGACTATGATTACCTCAGCGACTGGGGGCCCCGCTTTAAGACACTGGCAGGGATTTTCGGGGAACAGTCGGAAACTCAGTCGGACTCAACAACCACGGAGAACACACATTGATGTTATTCACAGACTCAAAAAAAAGCAAATATGTAACAACGTTCTTTGGTTGGCGACACACAATGTTTTACACTTTTCTTCCCATGTTATCTGTTTTTTTTTTTGTTTCCAGCTCACTGTTTTCTGTTTTGATGTGGTACTTTACCATGCTCAGTCCCAAAATTGTAAAAAAACAACAACAAACAAAACAAAAACAACAAGAGAACATACGGTAACATGAGTAGATGAGCAAAGCAGCCATTCAATTTCCTTTCAATTGAATGTTGTTTCTTGTCTTACATTTTGTTTCCTCTCTGGGAATACGCATACACACGGAAATGCTGCCATTTCCTGGAACATCCTTTAAAGTGCCTCAATATAATTGTTCTTTCGATTGCTATTTCATGCCACATATCCAGTGTTGTTTCTTAGTACCCCATAGGTTACGCCGATGCGGTCCGACCGGCCGAGGCATCTACCGAGACCAATGTCAACTCTGTGGGGGACAATGAGGTGGCCCGAGTTTGGCCAAAGATGTTTTGAATGTTATTTATTGTTCTATTTATTTATTGGCTGATTGAGTTTGATTAGACTTTTTTGTGTATTTATCTATTTATCTCTCAGTCATCAATCTGTATTTTTTATTTTTTTGGAGACACTCGAGGAATTTTGTAATTATCCAAGGCCCACATGAAAATGTATGTTTCTGTTAGGTGGGTCCTGTGAATAGACTTGTACTAGAGTTGTAAAAAGATAAACTAGGGCTAAATACTACAGTTCAGTCATGTAATAAGCACTGTTTTCTTAAATAAACCACACTTGGACAGAAACAGGCGTTGTATTTATGACTTTTCGTCCATCCCTGGTCTATAAAACATACATTATACTACGAGGTTATGGAGGAGCATGAGCAGAGAGCTGATGAGCACCTGAAGTGAAATTATATTTTTCCGACAGAGCTGTTCCAGGAAACAAGTTTTGCGTGCGGGGCAACATAAAATTTTTAATAAAGATCAATTTAAAATGATCTACTCTGCCTATACCTGTCACACTGCAAATGAAGCTCGAGGTGAAAACAAACATACATTGGTATCACATATGGTCTCTAGATAATGATCACCTCACCTGGACATTTAAGGTTTTGTGAGATGGATTGCCCTTGAATTTGATCCAGATATGCACAACGCCCAACAGCTTCAGTGATACCTCGAGTTCAGAAGCAAATTAAACGTCTTAATTATCCAGTTTATTGTCTTACTATCTCCTAGGCGAAGCTAAATTTGATGGGTTACACCTTCACATTTACTCTGGAACACAACTGACAAAAGCTCACATCCCCAGCCACAGTTTAAACTCTGCCCACCTATCCCCCAGCATGTTACCATGTCTAGACTCTTTCTCCCAAGGAACCCAGCGCCTGGATGGGAGAAAATACCTTTTTTTGCTATACAGTTGCTCGGCTTTTCCTTGCACAAATCAACAACTAAACGCTTTCAGGAGACAGTGTTTCCGAATTCGGCTAAACATTCCCGCGCAGAAAAGGCAATCAAGGTAAGAGAATTACAAGTCACACTGAGGCATCAATAAGGTATCGAAATGGACTATTTCTCCAGGCAATGAATAGAGTACCTCGGGCCTTTCTTGCCATGGTCTGGTGACGGCATAATGGAAGGTCTGGAAGAAAGCCAAAGAAGTGACATACAATGCAGAGCTCTTACCAATGGATGTGAAGCGATTCGCTTTTCTGTCCCTCTTTGTCACATCCAGCAGGTATACCAATGCAGAGGTGTAGTGATGTGTTTAAATGGACATCAAGTGATCTGTGATCCTTGGAATCAGCAGAAATTGCGCTGACAGTGATGTAAGGTAACTCCTACACAACAATGCTGCTTTGAATTTGCCTTTTTGCTATGACCTGACCTTTTTTAACCTTTCTTCTACCACCGTGCTTCACTTTTACCATCTTTCCAATGCTGTGGTGATTTTATGCAATTTCCTTGAACAAATGGAACTTGAAGGCCACGATTACAGGATTTATCTCATACCAATACAAGCAGAATCACTTCAGGTTTTTAGCCATGCTCATCCTGTAACACACCTCCACAACTACCAGGTACCAAGTCTGGTTCATATCGTCTTTGCAGATTCTCTCACTTGGTCTGTTGATGGCACCACGAGTTTGACATTTGAGTGAAATATCCTGACAAATACCGGAGAGATTGGAATGAAATCTGGTGCCCACATTCATGTCAAGATGAACTTATTCACTTAAGTGCTTCTGTGACCTTCCATCTGATGTGTTACATCTCAGCTGTGCTAGAATACAGGGTACAGCTGGGTTGTTAAATAACCCAGTTGCCCCAACACAGCATCAAACCAGTTGGTTTTTTTTTTGTTCGGCAAAAGTTATGCTTAATAATATAATTCACCAGCGAAGGAGGCAAAACTGGGAAAAACAGAGCCTGTGGGTGTTGTTAATCAATGGAAGAAATAAAAATCAAAAGAGGGCCAACAGCACTTCAACTTGCCGAGTGAACTACAAAAGAAAACAAAAGAAAATAATTAGACGTCCCACCAATGCTAAATACAAAGGCAGCAGCCCTTCTAGTGGACCTAACTCCTAACTGAATGTGGGAATAACGGTGAAGCTACACCTGGAACACAGAACACAAAATCAAAAAGCATCACCAGCGAGCAGAAAAACAGGAGGCTGCTTCCAAGTGCTGGAGAATTATGCAGAATACCCAAGGACAAGGAGAGGCACGACGGTAAGCTGCTCACATTAAATGAGATGACGAGTTGGAAGTTTCTACTCATGTTTATCTGTACTGCAGTTCAACCAAACTTCTAGGACCTCGATCTGTCCGGTTAGAAAACACGAGTGATTGTGAATTTCTAAGACTTTGAATGGGAGCAGCTGCAAGTATTTCTGGTTCTGATGTCATTTAAAGGTATCTCCTACCTCTGCTATGCTGATGACATCCAGCTTTCTTTCAAACCTGATGACGCTGAACAGTTGTCGAACAGCTACTAAGGGCTGGATGGCCAACGATTATCTGCAGCTTCATCCAGGCAAAACCGAGGTCGTTACTGCCTCTAAGGTGGCTCAATGTTTTACCATAAAGAGCAGTCTTAGAGGACCAGTCTATGGACTTAGAAAAACCCATCAATTCATCACATTTCTTTCACTTCATTGCAAGACTCAGGTCAACTGCGATAAAAATGTGACAATTTATGCTGTTACATTATCCAGCTGAACAACTGTTAATTCTCTCTTCACCTGACTTGACAAGCCATCCTTAGAACGTCTTCAGTTAGTCCAAGGCTGCTAACAAGGTCCAGCAGGATGTCACGCATCACGCCTACTTTATATTCCCCACATTGGCTCCCAGTTAAGGTCAGGATTTATTCATCCACTAGGTCACTTAGGTCCTCTGACAAGAGCTTGTGCTCCTCGCTAGCCTGAAAACAAAAGGTGACGGTGACTTTGAAGTGGTATACGTTGGACGCCCTCCGTATACGTCTTTGTCATGTGGTTTGTAATCTGTATATATGAACTTTTTTTTATGATCGTGTGTTGATTTTCTTCGTTAAGCACTTTGTGACTTTGTGCTGTGAAAGGTGCCATATAAATAAACTTTACTTAATTAGCACCTCCCACCGGAGACGTGAGGAGTCGAGGCAACAGGCACTTAACAAAACTAGACGTCCTCGCCTCGGAGCTGTTGTTTTAAAGTGACATCAATTAAATGTGACATGTTGCACAGCTGCATCATCTGTCCATTGTCTGGTTAAAACCTACCGCTGTGCTTTATGATCTCTGCTCAATGCTCACATCTATATTTACCTTAAGTTCAATTCACATTGCTGCAGAATGTGACAGGAGCGTACGGGCGTCATACGTTTTTTTACTTTCTGTTTGACGCACACGAGCGGTTAAGCACAAAAGAGTTGTGACACACAAATGAGTACTTTACAAATAAAGAGTGACATCTTGAGTGGCATATATTATATATATACACGTTTGTCAGTCCTGCTTTCAACGTGGTTTGTAAATTCCAGATGTACGTAAAGCCTCTTTTTATGTCACAGGCGCAGAAAAGACTGCATCGAGGATAAAGCTCGTAGCTCCTCCGGCAACCCTCCTCGATCCTCTCTCCTTCAGGTGCGTTTTTTTTTTTGGACGTCAGACGCTCTTTGTGATGGTGCGCAGAGATTGATTTCTGGGTCACGGCCAGAAGGACGGAGAGCGGTGGAGATGAGGAGGCTGAAATTAGTGAAATGGAGCCCCGGGCCAGTCGGCCAAGATGACCGGCAGAATACGAAGCGATCGCAGGAAGCAACTGGAGCCTGCACAGACCAATTTATGAGAAACAGTCGAGACGAGTTAAGTACAAAGAAGGCCAGAGCAAGGCCATCAGCATCATTAGGTCAGAATTTCAGTATTTCTTATACCCTGGTTTATGACTTGATGCCTGTAGAAGTAATAATGCATGCTTCAACCTCTGTATGTGTTCAGTCTTAAATAGAAATGTTAAACTATGAACATGGTTTACAGTCGTACCATATAGGGCTGATAGGACCGATAAAGATACTTGTTTGGAGAATATTAGCATATTAATGGTAACCTCATCCCAACCAGTCGAGGCAGATGGCTTCCCTCCCAGAGCCTGGACTTGTCGGGAGATTTATTTTTGGGTTTATGGTGCCTTACACTCTCACCAAGTGTTTGCTCAAAGGTAATCTACACAAAATGTCTGTGAAGATTCTCAGTCATCCAGGTCGTGGTTATTCTGGTAGATTAATCGTAGCAACTGGACTTGCTTGAGTTCCTTGAAGACGTTCCACCTCTGATCCAAGAGGCTTCATCACTTCTGACTGACTAGTTGGAAGCTCCAGATACTGATATCCTTAAGGAGCCATGAACACCTGAGTTTTGGTTCGGATGAGAGGCGAAACGTCTTCAAGGAACTCAAGCAAGTCCAGTTGCTATGAGTAATCTAAGAGAATCCATGCAAAAC